TTAAAAAATCCACTTGTTAATTTTTCCGTTCTTATAGTAACGATTTGCAGCTCGGTTAACGGTTATAACTCTTATTACCACACATTTAGTGTTACAATAAAAAACTAAATAAATTTATCCAAATAAACGTTTTTAAAAACCATACCCTATGGTATCATTATAAAATTACCAAATTTTATTACCTCATAAAAAATTATACTTTATTGTTAATTTACCAAAATCATTACCAAAGTGCTTCGGTTAAAATAACCTAGCTTTTTAGTGTTTCCATAGAGCCAGAAACACAGTAAATTTTACCATATTCTTGTAGTTTTTGACCATCATTTTTTCTCGATAGAAGAAGTCGTTCAAGTATCACAAAAGCATATATTTCCCAGATTGCTTATTTAATATTTAAACTACTTTATTATGTAACATTTGACCCTGTATTTTGAGGGTCAGCAACAATACGAAAAAAAGGTATGTTTGTTGAGCGAAAGTAAGTTTTTGTGTCTGATTTCGTAATTTAAAATATCGTCTGCACTAACTAATTAGCATAATTGAGATCCACTCCTTCCCTTGAACCACTACGATTGAACCTCAGTATGTGAAATCCAATCATTTGATTTGATCGAAAGTTATTCATAGTGTTTTGTTTATTTTTGTGCGCACTGAACGAGATGATTCAGAACAGCAACTACAAACTCCGAACGGATTCAGGACATATCATAAGTATTGAGAACTGCATAGTAACCCATAGCCATACTTATCGTAAGCCGCTAGCGGCGGTTTTGAATTATGAACTCAATGTTCGCGTGAATTCTGTTACTTTCATTTAGTTTAATTACCCTAATTTTATGTTAATTTTTGGGCTTTCTAATAAGCATTTCAGAAAATGGCACTAAAATTGTTTCAGATTGAGCTGTCATTTCGTAGTTGTTTGATTTAGAGTCACACACAATTTGCCAATTTTTTTTTTTTTTTTTGCGAAGTAGTAGATTACAATTAAATAGTTATTTATGTGCCTATATTGAATGCAATTTTTAATTACAATTATCAGAAAACAAAAAATTTATATACAATTAATGTGGTCACACCATTGTATGATCACATCGGTTTCTATGCAATTTTCATCTCTTTGATATGACCCATCTCCCGTCAAAATTTGTAACCGCTATACTGATAAATTTTGAAGCATTTAAAAATCTTACTCTTTACTGCATAGTAAATTTTAATTTCTTGTTTTTGTTTGCATATGTTTTGGTTTAAAGAAAAAAGTATTACAGGACTTACAGGAAGATCAGGGAAAACCTGGAATTAACAGGAAATTTTATTTCGACTCAGGAAAAGTTGCATTTTATTTTTACAAAAAAAAGGAAAATTCTTACATTGTACCTGGAAAATAATCAGTCAGTAACAGTAATCAGTTAATGAGATTTGATTTAAATAATTCCAACATTTATTACAATTGTTTGTTATAAAAATTCCACTTTTTAGTGAACATTTTTCATGTTTCCATCCTTATTCAATATTTTTTTTTTTTTGCTCACAAAATCTTATATATGATATTACAAGTTAAAAAAAATCAAAGTTTTGCAATGAAAAACTACATGGTATGGATAAAATAAGGTCAAGATTTGCATGAAAATTTCCCAAATTACCTGGAAAAGTAAGGGAGTTTTTTTTCTAAAATTAAGCGGGTACCCAAATGAAACAGAAAGAAATAATATTTAGTCTACAAGTTTGAACGAATAATTAAAAAAAAATCAATATTCGAAAACAAGTTGAGATATGCGTGCAAATAAGTATGCAACACGAACTATAAATAAGAACTGAAATAAATAAATTAAATTAAAATTTCAGTTTATTATCAGTAGCATTTTCATACTTACGATTTATTTTGTATACATTTTAACCAGACGGGAAAATGTTTAAATGATGGGACTATAATTTCAATATTAATTCTCATAAGCGTGAAGGGAATTACAAGATGATTTATAGCCCAAAATGTGCACACACACACAAAAAAAAAAAACTTTTGTTTATTTATTTTGCACCTTGGAATTGCAAAAGATTTTGAAGAAAAAGTGAAAGTAGACAGCAGCAATCCATTACGTATGATGTATACCCCACCCTCAAAACGCATGATTGATTACGGTAAAAGCAGCTTGAATTTCCCATGTCCAAATCTTTTCTTATGTGAATGAAAAGAATTCTATATTATATTTAAATTATTTTGCAAAAAAAAGAGACGTTTTTACTGTGAGAAATTAAAAGAAAGATTATACGATTATATTAAGAAAATAGGTTAAAGAAATCTAAATATCTCGAAAATTATTTTAATTGTTTACGTACAGTAGAAAAACTCTTTTAATCAAAAGCTGTAATTAAAAGAAATAATTATGTTTGATGTAAATTATGCAAGTTAATTAAGAATTCTTTATAATATGATTATACTAAGATAATAGGATAAAGAATTCGAAGTATCTTGAAAATTATTTTAAATGTTAACGCACTGTAGAAAAACTCTTTGAAACGCAAGCTGTAATTAAAGGAAATAATTATATTCGATATAAATTATGCAAGTTAATTAAGAATTCTGTATAGTATGATTATACTAGGATAATTGGATAAAGAATTCTAAGTATCTTGAAAATTATTTTAAATGTTAACGCACTATAGAAAAACTCTTTGAAACGCAAGCTGTAATTAAAGGAAATAATTATATTTGATGTAAATCATGCAAGTTAATTAAGAATACTGCATAATATGATTATACTAAGATAATAGGATAAAGAATTCTAAGCATCTTGAAAATTATTTTAAATGTTAACGCATTGTAGAAAAACTCTTTGAAACGCAAGCTGTAATTAAAGGAAATAATTATGTTCGATATAAATTATGCAAGTTAATTAAGAATTCTGTATAATATGATTATACTAAGATAATAGGATAAAGAAGTCAAATATCTCGAAAATTATTTTAAATGTTTACGCACAATAGAAAAACTCATTTTAATCAAAAGCTATAATTAAAAGAAATAATCATGTTTGATGTAAATTATACAAGTTAATTAAGAATTCTGTATAGTATGATAATATTAAGAACATAGGATAGAGAAGCTTGAGTATCTCGAAAATAATTTTAAACGTTTACGCACAATAAATAAACTCTTTCAATCAAAAGCTGTAAAAGAAATACATTTGAACCTCATTAACCCGAAATGGCTTAACGTGAACTGTCGCTTTACATAAAACACATGTTTAGTCCTGTGAGTCAGCAATCAATTATTATTGTGTTTTAAATGTTTAACTGGAAATTTTCAAGCTAATTATCGCTTAACATGAAAGGAACTTGACGCAGCAAAGATAATAAGCATAAGTGCCAATTATTCATTTTAAGGAATGCTATTTCTCTCCCCCCCCTTGTTAGAAGTAGTGCATAATATTTTATTTTACATCCATCGTTCAACAGCCGACCTAATTTTTTGGGTTTACGAATTTTAATGTATAACTCCGTTGCCTTGTAATTTTAAACACAATCCAGAAGACTTAGAAACTCTTGAATCAAGTATTGAGAGATATTTGCCTTCACAGAGGACTTTTTTGATGAAACTAACCCGCATTTGGTTTACATGGGGAGGAAAATCACGAAAACCTCCCACGGTTAGCCTGACGACTAGTAATCGTACTTAATAAATCGTTTTATGATTTATAAGATAAGATGAAGTCTGATTAACATTAAATAATTATAATAATCCCGCCAATTTCGCGTTAACGAGATTCGACTGTAATTATGTTTGATGTAAATTATGTACGTTAGTTAAGAACTCTGTATAATATGATTATACAAAGAAAATAGGATAAAGAAGTCTAAATATCTCGAAAATTATTTTAAATGTTAACGCACAGTAAAAAAACTCATTTAAACGCAAGTTGTAATTAAAAGAAATAATTATGTTTGATGTAAATTATGCAAGTTAATTAAGAATTATGCTTAATATGATTATACTAAGAAAATAAACTACAGAACTATAAATATCTTGATAAATATTATTTTAAATGTTTATAGACAGCAAGAAAGAAAAAAAGATTTTGCTACGTGAAATTAAAAGAAGTAATTATGGTTAAAGTGAATTATAAAAGTTAATTAAGATACAGTCGTTTGAATAGGCAGGAGAATTTCTATAATTATTATTGTCGGAAAAAAACTTTTCAGTGTGAAAAATTAAAAGAAAGAATTGCATATAATAAATTATTATGCAAAGAAAATAGGAACAAAACTATAAATATCTAGATGTAAATATTGTTTTAAATGTATATATACAGCATAAGAAAATAAAAAAAACTATTTGTTAAGTGAAATGAAAAAAAAAAATTTTTGTTTGATATGAATTATGCAAGTTAATTAAGATAACAGTCATTTGAATTGATATTTCAACAACTATTATTTTCGTAAAAAAAGACGTTTTTAGTATGAAAAAATAAAAGAAAGAATTGTGAATAATATGATTATGAATTTTCCGTGTTAATTGCGGATACAGTCGTTTAAATTGACAGAAATATTTCAGTAACTACTATTTTCGAAGAAAAAATTTCTTTGCGAAAAATTAAAAATGCAAACCGTGTATAAATATCTCTATTAATATTTTTTTATTTATTATTTAGCCTAAATATCTCTGAAATTATCCTTCTCTACACACAGCACAAATGTCACAAGCAGCTTTCTCAGCCTTAGAACCTTGATTAGAAGCAAAAAGAAGGTGTTGAAAATACTTTTTTTTCTCAACTTGACAACTTAAATTAACTAGATAAAAAAAAAATAGATTCTAGTGGAACAAAACATTCTCTTTCGTATGATCTAGCAAAAAATGCCAAAAACATTAAATAACATGCGGGGAACGTTAGAACTAAGAAAAAAAAGCAGCGGGAACTTAGTTGCCAATTTAATGTAATCTTTAAAAAAAAAATTATGTTTGTTTCTCATGTATAATGTTTTTTTTTTTTTAAATTTATCTGTAGTGCCTGAGTATACAAATGGAGGACAGAGAAACAGAAGAATTTGTGTTAGTAATGGAGCGTTACTACAGTCAACTAGTCGGAATGGAATTACCAGTTGATTGGAAAGACAGAGATCCTGAACCACTTGAAAGAGGTATGTTTGTCTTCTGAGTAAAAAAAGATTCAAAAGTGAGAAAGAGTTTGTCGCCCGTTAATGATTTTCCCCCTTTAATTACCAATACCAAAGGTGCTTCAAAAATCAGTTATGTAATTGTAGCTTCAATGGGGTATACTCAACTCAAGAAGAGGAAGACAGCTGATGCACAACCACATGACGTACAACCTCAGCTCAAGCTGGTTGTATATAAACAAGATGGCGGGTTAACGTTACAACTGTTAGGCTTGCTTTTTTTCTTCGTTAACTTATTTATTCCTAGTAATATACATTTCGTAAACTGATAACGGATTTGAAATCAGCGATACGAAAGTATCTAAGGCCTGTTTAAAAATTTCATACGACAGAAAACAAGAACTGTTTTCTAGTGATATTTATGCTACATTAAAACGAACTTAATTTCTAATAACATTTCCATATAAAGTAAAATTATTGCTTTAAAAACGAAATCAAAAAATATAAAGAATTTTTTTTTTGAAAACTATAATTTTAAAGTGATGCCGTATTTTTTAATAATACATTTGATTTATATCAAATGCTTTAGCCAAATAGTTTACTTAGAGCTTTAAAAAAATTTTCTTTATTTATACCATATAAAAACTATTAAGAATTTCGATTCGCATTTTATGATATCTAGTAAATCACTTTCTCTGCAAGTAACAATATAAAAAGCGTAACTTGTCACTTAGACTAGTACATTTGGGTAGATACTTGATTTATTAGAACATGTGCTGCCATGTAAAGAAATAAAAGTTCCATAAAAAAGAGCTAGCATTATTTTTTATTGAATGCGCCAATGGTAGCAGAATTAAGGAAAGCCATTGTATTATATTCATAGTCTTATTGCCGTGATTCTCTGTTTTTACGATATCAGATAGCAGCAATGTTAGGCTAATGGTTGAATAAGCATGCTGAAATTATGTAATTGTATATGGCATGCCGTAACCTTGACAGTGTCCTAAATACCCTTACATTTGGTGTACTCTGCATTTTACAGAATATGATTTAAGCTGTCATTGTTTGAATGGAAACACGCAGTAGTTGAAGTAAAATTATCCAACATTGTTTTAAAGAAACGGAATTTTCTAGAAGTAGTCTAGAAAATTTTTTAAAAAAAACTTCTTATTCCATCAGTTTTTTTTTCTTCTAAAGATTATTCGGTACTTATCAAACTATGCGACGGCAGTTACTTTTCAGAGTTGTCGCCAACTCGAACATTACCGATAAGTGCCGAATTTTGATGTTTGATGGATTGATATTTTATATCGATATTTAACATTATATCGCGATATTTCTCTGCTTTAACTTATTTTTATGTTGGTCAATATTTTTGATACCCGAAAAAAATTTATTAACGCTCAGAATATATCGTATTTCAGTAGTTATGGTCATGTATAATATTCACAATATTAGCTTTTTGATATGTTATGTTATCGATAATGATTTCGATATTAACGTGATCGATAATTTTATTTTGTAACTGGCGTTGAATAGCCAATCCAATCATGAGCATGTAGCTATCAATGTTCAACTCCGTAGCCTTGTAATTTAAAATCCCTACTTCTGGATCACTAACCTTCGTGGAAGAGTTTTAAAGGAACTAACCTGCATTTGCGTTACATGAAGAGGAAAACAACGAATACCTCCCACGGTTAGCCTAACGGCAAGTGGACTCTAATCGACTAGATATTTTACGTCAGCACTATGATCGGTGCGAACCGGGTGCAGAATTCGTATCTACCAGTCACTGTTGTGATTCGAATCTGGCTCACCTCATTGTTAGGCAAATGCTCTATTTGCGATATTTTCGTATTTCTTTCACTTTGTTATCATTAATGATCACGATGTTATCGAATTTGATAAGGATTTGGGTATTTTCAGTAACTGGTGAAATATGTATACTAGAATCTGGCGATTCTCCTACTTGCACTTGGCTTCATGGTCCCTATTACCTATAAAAACCTTTTATTCAATGGAAAAACACAGGTTGATAGAAGATTTTGTAAAATTCTTCCCAATTTGTTCAAGAATTTGCGTTTGTAGTTCTTATCTCGTTTCATTGTTAATTCTATAAATCCCTCTGTGTATGACGTTAATTCTATAGCATGCCGTTCTAAAACTATTTCTATAACACTATCAATGCTTTAAAATGTAAACAGATCCCTTAAAACCGAAAATCTTAAGAGCAAAAAAAAATATTTTTTTTGAGAAATTGGGGAAAAATAGAAACTTATTAAAAAATTATAAATAAGAATTTAGACACCAAGCAAAAGGTTCTGTGGTTAATACAACTGGTTCAATTGGAATTCGAAATTGGAGCTAGTTATTAAATAAAACTATTGACAATTCAAACACAAAACTTGATTATTACTACTAATTTGGATCATATAATTAGAACATATGAAATCAAATACGCTTCCCACTGACGAGTTATTAGGAAATTGTTTATCTTGCTATTACTAATAAATTTATGATGTAAACAAACAAATATTGAAAAAAAAATTATCATCGAAATTACATCTTTAGCAAAAATCTAATTATTTATTGAGAAGGTGAAAGGCAATTAGAGTTAGATATAGATTGTTTGGCTTTATACTGTGATATCAATCTTAACAAAGTTATATTTATGCTACGGTGAAAAAAACCAAAGTCTGGTAAATTCTAGGTTTCACCAGTAAAATCTGCCTTTCGTTAGAGTGGGTTGGTTAAAGTCCGAAGTATGCTTTAATAAGATTCCATTTCTGACTTTTATCAACCTTTGTGCTAAAACCTAAGAGTTACCAACTTTGTAAAACCCTAGGTTTTATCGGACTTCAGGCTTTTACAGTTGTCACAGTAAATACTCGAAATCTGGTAAATTCTAGATTTTACCAGTAAAACGTAGCTTTTACCAAAGAGGTTTGGAAAAAGTCTGAAATATGCTTTAATATGATTCCATTTTAGGCTTTTATACCGTGCTACTTAAAAGTTTCCAATTTGATAACTCGAAAGAATTTGGTAATAGGTTTTTATCGGTATAACCTTGGATTTACCAGGCTTCAGGCTTTTACCATAACATATATACTAAAACAAAATTAAAATAAACATAGAAGTATCAATTTGAATAGAAACTCTATTGGTACCAATTAGAATTGGAAATTATGTAGTATCGAAGGAAAAACCATCAAACATATTATAATCTTACATTTCAAGTTAGAAATATAGAAGTACTGAAACAACACGAATCTGTTGTGAATAGCAATTGTAAAGAGATATGTGCCTCTAAAGTAAAAAAACGCATATGTGCCTCTAAAATAAAAAAACGATGTCACAGAAGTTAAATATTTCAAGAGCAAGCTAAATCTGTTATTTTTAGGCTTACGACGTAGAATTTTGTATCTCTGAAACAAAAGACAAAATTGGATTCAAAATAGTAAAAATATTGATTGCATGAGAATTGCGTAGTATTTTTTACCACGGAAAATATATATTACCACAGATCTTGAAGAAGTAGAGAGTTGGTTGTAAGTAAAATTAAGACCTTACATTTCCGAATCCTCATAATTGGAAAAACACAATGCCCATGACCAGGATCTGTTTTGATACTTATTATATTAATGAAGAAGTATTACAATGTAACAAAGATAAGCGAAATCAGCAAGGAAGAAGTTCTCTTTTATGTTCGAAAAACTTAATATTAAGATTATGTACTCTAATGAATAGTTCCACTAAGATCAAGAATTGGTATTCCTATTTGTTGGTAGAAAAGAAAATCATTCTAATAAAATTAAATGAGGAACATTCCCGAAGTTTCTGAACTAACAAAGGAGAGTGGATTGCATTTTTATTATCTTATAGAGATTAAGGGATCAAACATAATTTAATATTGAATTCTTAGGATGTAATAACATAGCCCGATATAAAAAAGACATTATTCAATGATAAATTATTGAATTTCCAAAATTAGATTTTATTCCAATTTTGAGAAGTATTTGTATTAGTTAGCATTTCTACAAAATAAATAAAACTTTTTTTGAGTCTGGTTTGAAAATGAACATTTTTTGTTAAGCTTTTATTTTTATTTCTGGGCATTTTTCTTGCGCTTTTTTAAATTTAAATGCAAATTAGTCAAGTTAGTTTTCAATATTTTTTTTTAATTTTCAGCGTAACCTACAACGTTTCAAATTAAGAAAAAAAAAAGCTTTTGTTTCAGGGTGTTTTTCAAAAGTTCTCTGTTGTTAATTGAAATAATGCTTTTTAGCGAATAATGTGCTATTTATAGAACTGTTGCGAGCATTTAACAAATATTCGTGACTGTTAGGTTGAGTTTTACCTGTCTCTAGCCAGCATTTACAGCGCAAAATACCTATTGGAAATTAATTCATAGATTTTTTGAAAATTAAAAGCGTTTTGTGTTCAAGTTTTTTTAAATTTAAAATTGATTCTATTTGCTCGGATGCATAAAAATATGCAATAGAGAATTAGATACCAAGTGACGTCATCGTAGGTAAATCTCGTGACATTAGTCAATTCAGAAGCCAATCAGGTTCGATACACGAGCATATAAATAGCATGGTCAGGCATAATCACTTCCCTTGTTCTCAAGTTGCGAGTACCCAATTATTCATTAATTTTAAAGCTGTTTTTCGAAGACTATATCGTCATATGAAATAAAACATTTCAGCTAATAATTTTCTGTTTATGTCAGTGATTTGAGTTTGTAACAGTTATTGAGTTCGGTTAATTTTACCTATCTGTAGGCAGCTTCCTTAGCTCGCCAAATGGGTGAGTTTTAAAAATGTTTCATAGCTTTCAAAGTTATTTGTAAATTATTTTTGCGTTCTAAAGCTTGGGTAATTCTTTAAGGCAGGATTGTAAGTTCAGTTTAAAATTATATCGTCAACCCCTAGTGTTAGTCATCTAATCTGTTGCTTGTTTATTTTCCTTCATAAAAGGGTTTAAAAAAAACACCCTTAATTGATATGTCCAATAAAAAATGC